ACATCTATGTGGTATGTGTGCACCACATAAAACAGATCCTGCAGCACACTGTGTATAATGAGAGAAAAAAAATGAAATCATGATTTTGTCGATTAAAACAGGCAACTTTGCAGTGTTTTTTCGTATGTTTTTTATATTTGTATTTGCGATTTCTTGTCTCATTTGATAGAATGGAAGACATATTACAGTAAATAAAGATGATTTTGATTGGTTTTAGCACTGGAAATGGCTTGAAACTGAGCTCAAAGTAGCAGAATGTTAAATTTTTGCCGATATTCAAGAGTAAACCCAAACGACCTCACACATCTAATACACGTCAGCTGGTGGGTCTAATATACATTCACAAATATGGTGATGATATTTATACAATTATTACAATATTGCATAACAGTAAATCTTCTATTTTTGGTTGTGAATAAAAATTCATTATGTGAATAAAAAATCAAAATGGAATTTATTTGTAAAGCCTCAAAACATAACTAATGAACAGAGGAATGTTAGTTTAGTGCCAGGAATGCCTACATTGTTCATTCTGGGACCCTATTTTGAAATTGGAATATTTTGAACTTTGTGTTAAATTGGCTAAATTAACAATTTCCGATCACTTTATTTTGTAGTGAAACAGTTGACTTGGCGATTTCTTGTGCTCAATCGATAGAATAGAAGTAATACTAGTGAAATAGCTAAGAATTTGGTTGATTGGAATAATGTAATTGGCCTAAAATGGGAGTCAAAGTCGGCAAAATCGCCGATTCGTAAATATCGCTGAGACATCAAAATTCGCGAGAGCATAATTCGTCAATTTTCCACCAAATTTCGTACTTTTTGTTTTATTACCTTCACAAAAAGATTCTCTACAATTTCATAAGAAAAAATAACAAATTTTTTTTTTTGAAAATTCTTGGACACTGGTGCGTGACTCCAGATTTGGGCCTTGGACCCTGAAAGGGTTAAGAAACAGAGAAGAGAAGTAACCCCGGAAAAGCACTTGGTACCTGAGGTGTTGATGGAAGGGGATTCCCCTTCCAAACAGTAATTCAGTCTCTCTCCTCCTCCAGTCTTCCATACAGTAAGAAGAATTGCCAATAAAGGTAAGTGTTATACTGTTAATGTTTCATTCATCATATCCCATTGTATTGTTTGTGTACTACATCTATATTTCATGTAAAAAAAATTTTTTTTTTAATACTTCTGGGTGTCAGGAACGGATTAATTGTATTTACATTACAGTGGACCCCCGGTTAACGATATTTTTTCATTCCAGAAGTATGTTCAGGTGCCAGTACTGACCGAATTTGTTCCCATAAGGAATATTGTGAAGTAGATTAGTCCATTTCAGACCCTCAAACATACACGTACAAACACACTTACATAAGTACACTTACATAATTGGTTGCATTGGGAGGTGATCGTTAAGCGGGGGTCCACTGTATTTCTTATGGGGAAAATTGATTCGAAAATCGTCTATTTCGATAATAGTCCCACTTCCAGGAACAGATTATGGACGATAATTGAGGGACCACTGTACCTCCCTGGGCAGTTGCTGTCTACCAACCTACTACCTAGGCAAAACAAAAATTATGTAAATTAAAAAAAACAAGAAAAAAGGTATATCAACAACATTTCTGCAAGTGGCAGGACTCCATGTTGCCATCATGTGAGCATCCAGTGCCAACTTCACTGCCTTATGTCTCAATAAGTACTGGCCCTAATTTTTTTTATCTTACTACACACAGAAAATTACCCTCTTTGTTTTCATTTTTTAAATATTTGGAGGTGAATCATAGAATTGACGAGGGGAAAAAGGTGAGTGCTGCACTGAGGAATCTGTGGAGACAAAGAACTTTATCCATGAAAGCAAAGAGGGGAATGCATGAGAGTATAGTTATACCAACGCTCTTGTTTGGGTGTGAGGCATGGGTTGTGAATGTTGTAACAACGAGAAGGCTGAAGGCAGTGGAGATGTCATGTCTAAGGGCATGGTATGGTCTGAGAGCAATGTGTGGTGTGAGTATAATACAGAGAATCCGTAGTTTGGAGATTAGGAGGAGGTGTGGGATTGCCAAAACTATTATCCAGAGGGCTGAGGAGGGGTTATTGAAATGGTTTGGACATGTAGAGAGGATGGAACGAAATAGAATGACTTTGTGAGTATCCAAATCTGTAGTGGAGGGAAGGCGGGATAGGGGTTGGCCTAGGAAAGGTTGGAGGGAAGGGGTAAAGGAGGTTTTGTGTGCGAGGGGCTTGGACTTCCAGCAAGCATGCGTGAGCATGTTAGACAGGAGCAAATAGAGACAAATGGTTTTTAGGACTTGACGTGCTGTTGGAGTGTAAGCAAGGTAACATGAAGGGATTCAGGGAAACCAGCAGGCTGGACTTGAGTCCTAGAGATGATAAGTACAGTGTCTGCACTCTGTAGGAGGGGTGTTAATGTTGCATGCTTCTGGCAAGACAGTGATAGAGTGAATGATGATGAGTTTTTCTTTTTCGGGCCACCCTGCCTTGGTGGGAAACAGCCAATGTGTTAATATAATGTATTCGGAGTGCTAGCAGTAAAACGTAGATCAATTTTTGGACAGTTAAAGGGTTAATATACCTGCACACCAGCACAGTAAGTTTATTTAGGTACAAATACACACAAGTACAATTATCAGTAGTATCTTACCCAAAGACTTACCTTGCTCGCTGAGTTTAATAATTTATAACTTTGCAATTAAAATAAGAGCCTTACGACAACTCTTTTTATCATAACTACCCTAAGATATCATTGTAACACAAAAAAGAGTACATATAAAATACGCAATAACTTTAAAATACAGTGGACCCCCGCATAACGATTACCTCCGAATGTGACCAATTATGTAAGTGTATTTATGTAAGTGCGTTTGTACGTGTATGTTTGGGAGTCTGAAATGGACTAATCTACTTCACAATATTTCTTATGGGAACAAATTCGATCAGTACTGGCACCTGAACATACTTCTGGAGTGAAAAAATATCGTTAACCGGGGGTCCACTGTACTTGAAACTTTGGAGAGTTTCCAGACATAATCGGGAGAGAGACAGCTCACCTAGGATGTAAACATAACAAGAGTGAACAGGTGTGCACGGATGCTGTAATAACAAATCAGGAGCCACATAAATGAATTTTTGAGTATAATTTGAAATGTCCATATTAGCAAATCACAGTAAAATGGGTCCCTCCTGTATAGATAAACATAAATGCCTTCCAACATTTTCAACAATATCTTCACACCACAGAGCGCAAAATGTGCTAATCAGTGAGTAATTGCTGCTGATAAACTGGCACTAGTACAAATATGAAGCTCAACTATCATGACAGCACTCAACAAATTTTCAAATTTTGAAAGTTTTTGGATTTTGAAATTTCAGAAAAAGGATTCTCTACTGTACTAACATAATTTCTGAAATAACATTGTATCAACAGACTGACCAGACCACAGTTTTCTCATTCAGTATCTAGTTGCAGAGCACTTATCTAGTTGTTTCTTAAACAAGTGTGTTGTCTTTGCACATTAACATCACTGGGCAAGCTATTCAGTTGATCTCTAACTTTACCCTCCCTCCTCCAAAGAAAACTTTATCACATTTATTTTACAATTTTTTGTCTTGGTTTCATTATATTTTTTCAGGCTATAAACTCTGCACTTTTACTATTTTTTTTTTTTTTTACACAAATCAATTTTACAGGCTAAGAGTTGTTATCCTACATCAGCTCATTTCAAAGCCCAGCCCTATCTAAAATATACTACCACTCCCAGGATGTGACCCATACCAGTTGGCTAACACCCAGGTACCTACTTACTGCTAGGTGATTAGAGATAGCATGTGTAAGGAAACGCTCCCATTTCCACTTGTGCAGGGAATTGAACCCTGGACACTGTATGTGAACTGAGTGCACTACCACCCAAGCCATGGGACATAGTTCTCAGTGATTGAGCATATCATATGTGTTCAGCATTTTCTTGGTTTGATTGGGATCTCTTAGTGTGTTTTCTAATAGATCATGTGTTTAATGTTTTAAGACTATGTATATAATTGTTTTGTAATGATTGTAGTTGCTCTTCTCTCCATCCTCTCCAGCTTTTATTTTCTGGAATTTGCACATCAAATTCTTATTACATTTAGGAGAAAGCATTAAATCTGTAGGGGGTCATACAGTGCTAGGGAAGTAGTAGACTATCTGGTTCAGTTCTTAGGATCAAGAACTCCCAACCTTGAAGGAACCTCCTAAAAATTGGACATCACATGCAAGGTGCAGTCTAACAAGTGCCTTATAAATCAATAGTATTTATGGTGTTTTGCACATGAAATTACTAGCTGTGTGTACTTTGTGTGTACTTTGCTGCTAGCAGATGGACAAGTGAGTAACCTGGAAACCGAGGTGGAAGGAGTACAAAAGTGCATGATAGATCACACTTAAGTGTTGAGAGGAGGTTGTGTGGTGTGAAAGTGCTAAATTTTTCTTGCTTTAAACCCAATTAGAGTACCATATATAATGTTCATTTATAATTAAAGCATTAATACAGTTTTACCATTATTTTAGAATACTGACAAATTATAAAAATACTTACGTAAAATATCTCTCTCAAATCAGGATGTCTGAAACCTATCTAATTTTACCACATTATATTCATAAAAAAAGTGGTGCAGTAAATAACTTTTTATATAAAGTTTTTACCACAGATATTCAGTTTGGTATTCCATGAGGGCTGTAGATTGTAAACATACAAATACACAACCTAATGTATTTAATGCATATTGTATTTCTTACAAAAAATGGAGTTTTCAAAAGTACACATTAAAATTATTGTTTTTTCCTGTCTGCTTTGTTCATTCTAACTAAAGTGAGAAAGGTACTCAATAGTTTAATTATACAAGCCAAAAATAAAGCACAGTAATAGGAATGATATGATTTTCAGGTTAGTAAATCAAAAGCCAAAAATAAAGCACAATAATAGAAATGATTTGATTTTCAGGTTAGTAAATCAAAAGGCAAAGATCGGATAAGGAAACTTCTGGAAACTGCGGTATCTCTTGAGCTGGTACATAAACTGTTTATGAAAGTGAGAGCCTACCACAAAGTAAGGGAAACACTTTATTTTAAGGTGAGTCTGACTTTGTTTTTCCTTGTTTAATATATACTTTGCAGCATGATGTTTTATATCTAACTAGAAATTTTTAAAAATAAATATTTTGTGAAGAGATTCAAGGAAACTGGTTAGCCAAACTTGAGTCCTGGAGGTGGGAAGTACAGTGCCTGCACTTTAAAGGAGGGGTTTGGGATATTGGCAGTTTGGAGGGATGTCTAAACTGTCGTATCTGAGCACCTCTGCAAAGCCAGCGATTACACTGGTCTGCATTTGGAATGTTTTTAATTTTTATTTTTTCATGGTTGCGATCTTACATATTCTTAGGCTGCTGATTGTAAATATCTAAACCATTTTGCTCTATCACGTAAGGATTTTGAATAAAATACAAATTAATGATAAAAAATGTGATTTTTTTTTATAAATTGTTAATTTATTAAAATTAGGCAAGTAATCATGGAAAAGCACATTCTGTTAGTTTTAAGAACATATGAATTCCAAATCAACATGAACCAAATCAAATGATTTTATTAAAAAAATACGCTCCTAATGGTTAGCCTACATACTGAATCAAAGGAACAAGGATTGCTTTGATTTATGCTTGCGCTGTGCATCGAGTCCATTATGTTTCAATGACCAGCAGTAATCTGCCATCATGCTGACATTACATTTGCTCTGGTATCAAGTTTGCATGGTGCAAATCTCCTGATGGAACCACTCTCCTTGTTCCTCACTTTAGTCCCTACAATTGTTGGGAAAATAGTCAAGATGTGAGTGCAAGAAGTGCATTTTCACACTCATTCTAGACCCAAGATGTCGAAAACTTGAAATCAGATCTTGGATCATTTTTTCATGTTCGGGGGAGCGCCTGTTTCCCAGGAAGTTGTGGACAATCTGCTTGAATGAAAACCAGGCATTCACCTCGACACCTGCTAATGCTTCATCAAAATGCTTGTCCTTCATCAGTTCTCATAACTCCTAATTTGATGTGGAGTGGTGGCAGCAAGCGAATGTTGTTCCAGGAGCTAGAAGCCTGTGTTCTTCAGTCTAGAGCCAAGTAACTGAGCACTTTCTTTTGGAAGGTTAAGGTCTCTCACCAAGTCATTGAGCTCAAGTTGGTTGAAGGGTTTGGGATTGTCATTTGTTGGTGGTTCATAGTCTACTTCCATCTCCTTAGAATCACTGGTATCGGACTGATGAAATTTTCCATGTCTCAGGTGGCACAGGTACAGGAATATCTTCAGTGTGTGGAACAGGCCTTATTGCTGAAGGAATATTTGTGTATATTATGTTGAATCCAGCTACTTTAGTCATACAAAAGTAGCAGTCATCATGGTGGTTCATCTGCTCCTGCCATACCATTGGTACTCCAAAGGGCATACATTTAAGTTTTCTAACTGACCACATTTGGAGCTTACTGATGCAACTCTTGCAAGCTTTGTGTGGTGCAAATGGTTTGTTCTGCTCTCCAAGTTTACAGCCAAAATAAGCAAAGTAGCAGTGCTTCAGTAAAGGAGTAATGTTCCTCCAGGAATCTGAAGGGGTGAATTGCCCGCAGACATAGCAAAATATATCTGGTAAATTTATGTAGCCTCTAGACATATTAATAATCTGAAAATAAAGAAAAATATACAGTAAACCATCGTTTAACATGGTAGTTACGTTCCTGAAAAACGCAGTGTTAGTCAAAAACCATGTGAGACAAACTGAAGAACTTATGGGAAAAATAGGGTTACGTTTCTGGGGGAGCCCCCACAAAGCCAAACAACTTTTTTTTAGACCTCCAGATCTTACAAAATAAAAGTGAATATGTAATTGTAGTGCATTGTCGTAATATATTACTGCTTAAAACTACAAATGCTATAGAAATAATGGTATTTCTTACCTTAAATTGTGGGTAATGGTGTTTGTGGATGATTGTGAAGAGAGTGGATATGGATGGTGTGGCCCTACTGGGCTGAGGTGGATGGTTGTTGGTTGTCAGGAGAAGTGAACTGTAGAGGTTCTGGTACTGAAGTCGATGGTTGTATTGGAGTGTGCATAAATTCTGTAATGAATCTCTGGGCTCTTTAATCTGCAGTACATTGTACAACTGATGGTAAGGCATCATCAGCTGGTCTAGACCCCATTTCAAAGCACTGCTTCTAGATTTGTTATTGTATAATTATACTATTACTATCAATAAATAATATCTACCTATCATATTTATTCCAGAATAATATTAGGTATAACATAAATAATATAGAAGCATGATAAAGATGCACAGATTAATAAAAACTGACATATAGAGAGGTATTGAAGGGTAGGCAGGGCTATGAGAGGGAGAAGGCACAAGCAGTCTCTCTCAGACTCTCAATAACTCATGGACCACCATGGCATGTGGAGGTATGGGATCACGGCACTATAAAATATTGTATAATGATACTATTATTATCAATAAGTTTATCTACCTATCATTTTTTTTTTTTTCAACAAACCGGCCATATCCCACCAAGACAGGGTGGCCCAAAAAGAAAAACGAAAGTTTCTCTTTTTAAATTTAGTAATTTCTACAAGAGAAGGGGTTACTAGCCCCTTGCCCCTGCCATTTTAGTCGCCTCTTACAACACGCATGGCTTACGGAGGAAGAATTCTGTTCCACTTCCCCATGGACATAAGAGGAAATAAACAAGAACAAGAACTAGAAAGAAAATAGCAGAAAACCCAGAGGGGTGTGTATATATATGCTTGTACATGTATGCGTAGTGTGACCTAAGTGTAAGTAGAAGTAGCAAGACGTACCTGAAATCTTGCATGTTCATGAGACAGGAAAAAGGACACCAGCAATCCTACCATCATGTAAAACAATTACAGGCTTTCGTTTTACACTCACTTGGCAGGACGGTGGTACCTCCCTGGGCGGTTGCTGTCTACCAACCTACTACCTATACCTATCATATTTATTCCAGAATAATATTAGGTATAACATAAATAACATAGAAGCATGATAAAGATGCCTAAATTAATAAAAATCTGACATTATTGAAAGGTATTGCAGATTTGAGAGTGGGGAGGGATAATGCTAAACACACACGCTTTTCCAGTAAGTCAGTAAGTTATTCAGTCAAGTCAGTGTGTCATTCAGTCAAGTCAGTAAGTCATTCAGTAAAGTCAGTAGGTCAGTCAGTCAAGTCAGTGTGTCAATCAGTAAGTTATTCTGTCAAGTCAGTAAGTCATTCAGTCAAGTCAGTAATTTATTCAGTCAGGTCAGTAAGTTATTTAGTCAAGTAAGTCATTCAGTCATGTCAGTAAGTTATTCAGTCAAGTCAGTGGGTCAGTCAGTCAAGTCAGTGTGTCAATCAGTAAGTCATTCTGTCAAGTCATTAAGTCATTCAGTCAAGTCAGTAATTTATTCAGTCAGGTCAGTAAGTTATTTAGTCAAGTAAGTCATTCAGTCAAGTCAGTAAGTCATTCAGTCAAGTCAGTAAGTTATTCAGTCAAGTCAGTAAGTTATTCAGTCAAGTCAGTAAGTTATTCAGTCAGGTAAGTCATTCAGTCAAATCAGTAAATCATTCAGTCAAGTCAGTAAGTCATTCTGTCAAGTCAGTAAGTCATTCAGTCAAGTCAGTAAGTCATTCTGTCAAGACAGTAAGTCATTCTGTCAAGTCAGTAAGTCATCAGTAAATTAACAAAAAAAGGCACAATACCGTGACTGGAACGATACACAAATAACCCACACATAGAAGAGAGGAGCTTACGACGACGTTTCGGCCAGACTTGGACCATTTACAAAGTCACACTAACCAGAAGTGGAGCACGACGGCTATATATAGGCAGGAAGAGGTAGTGGTGGTGGTGGTAGTAGTAGTAGTGGTAGAAATAGTAGTAGTAGTAGTAGTGGTAGTATAGGGGAACTAAGGAGGAGGAGCCAGTCAAATATAAAGACAGGGGAGCACTGCAAGGGAGCTAGGTACCCACAGAGGGAAAGCAAGTGCACAGAGGTGGGGGGAAGGGGAAGTGATGAAAAAAATAATGAAGGAACAGAAACACGCGACAGAAGAAAGACAAAAAAAAGGAAATAGCAAAGGGGAAGAGGGAGAAGAAGAAAAAAATGAGGAATCAGGTTAAGTCACGGGTGTTCTGAAGTTTGGAGCATTTTACAATGTAGTGGGAGAGGAAGGCATCTACAGAGACAAAGCCAGGACTAAGATTCATACAAGGAAAGTTGTGTATTAGGGAGGACTCAACAAGATGGCTACTGTTAAAGTTGGAAGTAGGGAAGACAGTTTTAGCAGAAGACCAGTCTATAGGATGGCTGTGATCTCTGACGTGACAGAAAAGAGCATTGTTAGTGTCGGCAAGCCTAACACTATTTTTGTGCTCCCTAAGTCTGTCAGAAAGAGATCGGCCGGTTTCTCCAAAGTATTGAAGAGGACAGGAGGAGCAAGAAATAGAGTAGACACCAGGAACATCTGTAGAGGGAGGAGAGGTATGAACGAGATTAGTGCGAAGAGTGTTAGTCTGGCGGAAAGTAAGCTTGATGTCTAAGGGATGGAGAGAATTGTTGAGATTAGAAAGACCGGAAATGTAGGAAAGGCAGAGGACAGAAGAGCTCCAAGGAGTAGAGAGTTTAGGAGAGAAGAAATTACGTTTAGCTCGTGAGAAGGCAGAGTCTATGAAATGGGAAGGGTAGCCAAGTCGGGAAAACGAATTATGAAGAGTGGAAATTTCTGCTGGAAGGAACCAAGGATCACAGATGCGGAGGGCACGGAGAAAGAGGGAGATAAGAACACTTTTCTTGACAGGGGAATCATGATAGGAAAAGTAGTAAATGTACATGCCACTGTGCATAGGTTTTCGGTAAACGGAAAAGGAAAAACCTGTATTTGAGCGGTGGACATGGACATCAAGGAAAGGAAGCAAGGAATTAGATTCCCATTCAGCTTTAAACTTAATGGAAGGGGCAAGATTATTAACCCTTTCAGGGTCCGTCCCGTAGATCTACGGCTTTACGTTCAGGGTCCAAACCGTAGATCTACGTCATGAGCTCAGCTCACTCTGATAAACTGTGAGTGGTACATTTGGGCCTAGATATGAGAGAATACATCTATGTGGTATGTGTATACCACATAAAACAGATCCTGCAGCACACTGTATAATGAGAGAAAAAACTGAAATCATGATTTTTCGATTAAAACAGCGACTTTGCAGTGTTTTTTCATATGTTTTTTATAGTTGTATTTGCGATTTCTTGGTCTCATTTGATAGAATGGAAGACATATTACAGAAACAGAGATGATTTTGATTGGTTTTATCACTGAAAATGGCTTGAAACTGAGCTCAAAGTAGCAGAAATGTTAAATTTTTGCCGATAATCAAGAGTAAACAAACGACCTCACACGTCTAATACATGCCAGCTGGTGGGTCTAATATGCATTCACAAATATGGTGATGATATTTATACAATTATTACAGTATTGCATAACAGTAAATCTTCTATTTTTTGGTGTGAATAAAAATTCGTTATGTGAATAAAAAATCAAAATGGAATTTATTTGTAAAGCCTCAAAACATAACTAATGAACAGAGGAAATGTTAGTTTAGTTCCAGGAATACCTACATTGTTTATTCTGGACCCTATTTTGAAATTGGAATATTTTGAACTTCGTGTAAAATTGGCCAAATTAACAATTTCCGATCACTTTAATTTGTAGTTGAAACAGTTGACTTGGCGATTTCTTGTGCTCAATCGCTAGAATAGAAGTAATACTAGTGAAATAGCTAAGAATTTGGTTGACTGGAATAATGTAATTGGCCTAAAATGGGAGTCAAATTCGGCAAAATCGCCGATTCGTAAATATTGCTTACACATCAAAATTCGCGAGAGCATAATTTCGTCAATTTTCCATCAAATTTCATACTTTTTGTTTTATTACCTTCACAAAAAGATTCTCTACCATTTCATAAGAAAAAATAACAAATTTTTTGGGGGAAAAATTTTTTGACACTGATGCACCACTTCAGATTTGGGCCTTGGACCCTGAAGGGGTTAAGACCTTCAAGAAAAGGTTGGAAGAGATTGGAGTCATGAGGCCACAGAGCAAAGATGTCATCCACATAGAGGAGCCAGAGTGAAGGTTGCACATCGATGGTAGGAAGAAGAACAGTCTCGAAGTATTCCATGTAAAGATTAGCAAGGACAGGAGAGAGAGGAGAGCCCATAGCGACACTGAAGGTTTGAGAATAATATTTCCCTTGGAAGGAAAAGGAATTAGAGTCCACACAGAGGCGGATAAAATCAAGAAAGACTTCAATAGGTATAGGGAGATGTAGAAACCCTTCAAGGGCCTTCTAAGAAAATCAAGGACATCATCAAGAGGGACATTGGTGAAGAGGGACTCAACGTCAAGACTAAGCATCTTACAGGTTGGGAGAGAGCGAACCCGTTCAATGAAGTCTTGAGAGTGACGGAGGTGGGCAGGAGAAAAAGTACCAAGAAAGGGAGTGAGGGTTTTGGCCAACCAAGAAGCAAGAGAATAAGAGACAGAACCTCTAGAGGATATGATAGGACGAAGAGGAATATCAGGTTTATGAGTTTTGGGAAGGCCATTGAAATAGGGAAGAGAGGGACAGATGACACGAAACCGTTGAACAAGGTCAAAGTCAGGAGGACAGAGGTCGGAGAGAGTCCTTAGTTTCTTGTTGAAAGTTCTCTTGATGCGATCAAGAGGGTTGGAAACGAGAGGAGTGTAGGTACCTGAGTCAGAGAGCAAGACCTCAGCTTTACGGAGGTAATCCTCGCGATCAAGGATAACTACCGAATTACCTTTGTCAGAAGATAGTATGACAATGTTAGTGTTAGATTTAAGAGAAGAAAGGGCAAGTTGGTAACGACACAGAAGGTGGTGATTCTTAGAAAACAGACTAACAAGAGCAGGAAGGAGAGCACCACGAAAAGTGGACAAGTCGGGAAGATTATGGGAGTGAGATTGACGAAAGGAATCAAAAGAGCTAATCAGGGAAATACCAGTGCAAGGGGTAGGCAAAGTGGCAAAGGAAAAGCCAAAACCAAGAAGTTCAAGCTCATACTGAGAGAGTGAGACAGAAGACAAGTTAGTAACACGTCTCATCTCAGCTAGCCCTTGGTCTAAATTCTCCCTCACTGACTGTGTTACTAACTTGTCTTCTGTCTCACTCTCTCAGTATGAGCTTGAACTTCTTGGTTTTGGCCTTTCCTTTGCCACTTCGCCTACCCCTCGCGCTGGTATTTCCCTGATTAGCTCTTTTGATTCCTTTCGTCAATCTTGCTCCCGTAATCTTCCTGACTTGTCCACTTTTCGTGACGCTCTCCTTCCTGCTCTTGTTAGTCTGTTTTCTAAGAATTACCACCTTCTGTGCCATTACCAACTTGCCCTTTCTTCTCTTAAATCTAACACTAACATTGTCACACTATCTTCTGACTAAGGTAATTCGGTAGTTATCCTTGATCGCGAGGATTACCTCCGTAAAGCTGAGGTCTTGCTCTCTGACTCAGGTACCTACACTCCTCTCGTTTCCAACCCTCTTGATCACATCAAGAGAACTTTCAACAAGAAACTAAGGACTCTCTCCGACCTCTGTCCTCCTGACTTTGACCTTGTTCAACGGTTTCGTGTCATCTGTCCCTCTCTTCCCTATTTCTGTGGCCTTCTCAAAACTCATAAACCTGATATTCCTCTTCATCCTATCATATCCTCTAGAGGTTCTGTCTCTTATTCTCTTGCTTTTTGGGTTTGGGCCCAAAAAACCTCACTCCCTTTCTTGGTACTTTTTCTCCTGCCCACCTCCGTCACTCTCAAGACTTCATTGAACGGGTTCGCTCTCTCCCAACCTGTAAGATGCTTAGTCTTGATGTTGAGTCCCTCTTCACCAGTGTCCCTCTTGATGATGTCCTTGATTTCCTTAGAGAGAAGGCCCTTGAAGGGTTTCTACATCTCCCTATACCTTCTGAAGTCTTTCTTGATCTTATCTGCCTCTGTGTGGACTCTAATTCCTTTTCCTTCCAAGGGAA